ATAAAGTTATAAATTATAAGTTAAATACTTTTGTATCTTAGGCCGTTAAAAATACACTCACCATAATTTCGAAGAAAGACTATATCCAAATCCAACCCGCATTTACGATACGAAGACTTCCGGCGTGACCTCGGGTCGATTGCCGAAAGAAATCCGTTGAACTGGTGTACAGTGAGCTCCAAGTACGGGTCAGAACAAGCGAGGTAGTATGTGAATACAGGCAAATTTCATGGCTTAAAGACGCGAAGACTAATCTCTAGTGCGACTTTCTCGGTTCTATAGGGATGTGAGAGAAGGGTCATGACTAAAATTTGGCACTGGAAAGAAAATTCGAATACGTACGAGGTTTCAAAGACCCGTGATGGTTCGCTTTTGGGACTCGAGTTTCCAACCTTCTCTTATTTCTTACTGGTGGGGAAAAAAACCTTAAAACGGGTTAAATTCAAAAAATGACCACGCAGAGCGAAAGAAGTGCTATTTCTCAATGATCGGGTAAAATTTCGAGGCTTTATTTCACCTTTCAATGATTTTATTGAAATTTTTGATGAATCTCCATACATTTCCTTATAGCAGGACACCACAGAAACCAAGCTTGGGCTACCTGTGGTCCTGGTCACAAATTGGTCACAAAAGATGGCGCGAAGCTCGTTTCCATGTTCGTTTCCAGACTCTTCTCATCTTCAAAAAGAACGAGCAGGGTGTGGGTACGACAGCTATCCGTGGGCACATTGGCAGCCAATCACAACCTTTGTACCATTAACATTATCTATAATCTCTTCACATCTTCCACTGGGTCCTTGAGCTGCACAGCCAAATGAGGATTTCTTACATTTGATTTGGACCAGTCCATTCAGGACTTGTAGCCGCTTTCCATCGATACACGATCGAGATGGGCAAGGAACGGCTTGGATTGTTAAGCCACTTAAGGCAACAATGAGAAGAATTGTCACTATTAACATTATCTGAATTAAGAAGAAAAAGAACTTTTAAATGAATTAATAAAACTACACAACAATCGATGTCTTGATACCACTTCAGACAGCCGCTTCGCTTGTAGTATATAAACAATACTCCTAAGCTCTTACCCAAACACTGAATATTCCAGTTTCGAGTTATCTGTTGCTCAGGGTAAGCCTGGATTTTGTGCAGAATATTCACTTTCCACATAGAAAAGTTGTCCTTCCGCTCGAGCCGTTTCTTTTACCATATAAGGAATGTACTTACCATATTTGGAAATTGGAATATAATTTTCTTTACTAAATAGGCGAATTTCTTGCTCAAAACTGCTCAAATTTACAGTAAATCGAGTGAACTAGTCAGTCATCTTGGTTTTGGCCGAAAAAGGACTGGAAATGTTTAGGGGAGGGGAGCGTGGTTTGTCACCACAGGAAGCCCGCGAACAACAACAATTGTTTGATAAGCATGTATTTCAGTCAAGGTCCGTGGAATTTCAAATTGTTTGTATTGTTGAAGTTGTGCAT